TTTTGTTTTTGTTTTTAAATTTTCGTGTATAAAACAATTTTATGTGATTTTATGAAAGAGAAATGAGACGGTTTAGAAAAGTCAGAGATGAGGAAGGGAAGATGGGTAAAGAGTCCGGCGGAATAAATAAGACGAATCCACACTACAAGTTGGCTATTTTAGATTCAAACACAATTCTTGATAGAGTGATGGAGAGAGCCTTTGTCTCTTTCGTTGTCCTTACTATTTAAAGTCAACCAAGTCTCCGCTTGGTCCCAGAGCTTCTCTTTGTTTTGGGCATTTTGGCAAATAAAAAATAGTTTCACGAAAAAATAATACAAACTCATTGTATTTTATAGGCATAACAATATAAACTAAAATATATGAAATCATTTATTTTTGGGTAAATTTAAATATTTCGAGTGGTAACATTTTGGAAATACATATGTAGATAATTAGATTTTTTTAAAAACAATTTTTCTTAGAAGACATCAAGGTAGTGTCAATAACACCATAACAAGGTAGGTCCTTTTAGTCAGCTATTACCTAATGTTTTTCTTCATTTCTACTCATCTTTGATTTCAGATTGCAAGTTGCCCTCAAGAGAATGTGTGACGTTGTTTCCTTTTCTTTTGCCTACCGACCATTCCGTTTTATTCACCAAAGTTTGTCTTTGATCTCCAATCTATTATGATTATCATCATTTTTCCCCCTATCCAAATAACCATCCAATTTAAATTTCATTTAAGAACTGTGAATCACTATAATTCGTGGAAATAGAAATTCACAGTCCAAAATTCACATAGTTTATGTATTTGTTTACTTATGCAGTATTACTATATATTTATTATATCTGTAGGCATATATATATATATATAATTCATAAGTCCCTAGCAAAGTGTATATCCACGTTTTATCTATATATATATATATATATATATATTAAAATATACATATGCATACTGTATATGTTATACATGTATAAATCTTAAAAAAAATATTATCAATCTTTATAAAAAATTTCAAATTTAAGAAACAAAAGTTTTTCAATGATATTTAATAAATATTACATTTGATTTGTATGAATTAGTAATTATTCTTTGAACCTAATATTTTTCTTTACCGGTACAGTTTAATGTTTCCTGTTTTAAATGAAATATCTGCCAACCATCCAATAATGTGTGACATATAACAAATTCTACAATTCTCCCAATTTAAAATGTTATATGTATAAAGAAAAATTAGCTGTTATTTTTGGTGACGTCTATAAACCCTATGCTAAAATGGTCTCACGACGTTCGTTGCCGTTATTATTCACTTACATTATCATTGGTGTTTTTTTCTTCTTAAATTATACAGAGAATAATGATAGAGAATCCATGGAATATTATTTTGATGATATCATTTAAAGACTGAAGATATCGGAATCTAAGACTAAGAGTTGAAATAGAAGTAAAGAACAAGAGGAAAAAAACAAATGATACAACTCAAGTCCAAGAGATGTGTCAAACTGTCAACATAGAAGTGAGACATCAAATATTAAACGCGTATCAATACAAATTCAACTCCAATTATTTTGGCGACAGTTTAAACGGCTAGATAATAATCAGATATGTATTTTTGGAACTAATGGTATGCCTATAAGGCTATAACTCTTCCTTCCCACCTTTTTTGTTTATAATTTAATTTATTATTTATCCTTTGTATTATTATGATCTTGTAAGAAGTTTATGCGGTGGTTATGTGACTGTAAAGTTTAAGAGTTATAATGATGACACTGATTATTATGAATATATTTGTTAGCAGACTAAGCCTTTCTATTTTTTAAGACGGATAACAATCTTCAGACTAATTTATTATAAATCTGTTGTTCCAGACCATTTTTTTTTTTTTTGCAGACTACTTCTTCTTTTCTTTTTCCTTTTTTTTCTATTCGTATTATTGTAGACAGAAATTATGAATGGTTCCATCTACTACAACCATTCAAAGCTGAAATGTTTTTAACACACCGTTTGAAAATCAAAATTAAATATAATATGTTAGTTAAAACCACAAATAATATTCTAATTTTGAAGTAGCTCTATTGCAAAATTAATGCATTAGTTTTTCTCATTATTAAAGACCTTGTTCTGTTGACAAAAGAAAAGACCTTGTTCTTTTTAAAATAAGTTTGTGTTAATGTCTTGTGTGAGATGTAATGTGTTAATGCCTTGCGTGAAATGTAACTAGGAACTATCTAATAGAATAAATTGTGAACTGAAAAAAAAAAGAAGAAGATAAGTGTTAAATGTTAATCAGTGATCCAGTTGATACATGAGATATTTGAACATTGTAGTGTAATTACAGAGGTCAGAGGCCACGAGTCAATAACATCCTTCGCTACCTTTTTGACAATTTTGCTCTCCCTCTCTCTAAACTAACAATGATGTTCAATCCCAAGATTCTGATTACGCCACGCCATGCCACTTCGTTATTATTATTTCATGACTATTTTTAGTTGGCTTTTCAAGTGTTCAAATTCGTTAAATATAATAAAATTAATCTTCAGTTATAGAGTGCTGGTTTTGGTAAATTCCACATATGAGTAGACAAGTATTCTACCACAGTTTCATTACCCGTCTTTTTTAGTTGAGTTTTTTTTAGACATTAAATATTTGTATTTTTAAAAAGCTTTTTAGTCGTTTTTTTCATCTAAACTAATAGTATTTCACGACTAAAAGATCTTAATCTTTATTTAGATGTTTGTATACAACCTTTTTCTCCGTGATTGATTGTTGACTCTTCTCATAGAATAATGTAAAGACCATTTAAATTTATAAAGGAAATCAAGCATAAACATTCATTGCCTAGTCATATTCAACTACGAGTGCATAATGATGGAGCGAACCACAATCTTTTTGATGCTAACAAACCTATAAGCTTCTTTAGGGTCCCGATTCGCGACCCTATAATTAGGGGGGAAATATTATTAATTTGCTTTTTTGAATTGAAAAGTGGTTATTCAACTATGTTACATACATTTATTGTCATCTCCATGAAAGTTTGAAACTAAATGCAACTGAATTGCACTGATCTAGTGTCCACTTTGCTTTGTGGGAGAAATTTACTAGATTTTATCTCATCTAAATAGTGGATGTAATTTTATTGTTACTCATGAGTCATGACTAATTAAAAACACTTTCGACCAATATAGTTATGCCTACATGTTTTGAACGTTGTCTGGTGATGTTTAAATTTTAATGCTCTATTTTTGGCTAAACAATGTCGCATGGCCACAATTTAATCTGATAATCTGTAGATTTTATCGATATCTCCTTTATTAATTTTTAGCATATACAGTCATTTCTTTCCAAAGACAACATAAAATTTAATTATATTTAACAAACGCAATTAGCTTAAATAATATGGTTTAAACTTTTTGAGTTATGTTAGTTTAATCTAATTTAAAAATATAACACTATACATAGAAATGAATCATATGCGCTTTTTGACAGATATAACCAACAATTGACAACTTAAAAAAAAAACTGCAAATCCATTTGTTCAGATTGGATTGGCAGTTTCTAAATTTTCGGTTAACAGCAAAAAATGTTACTAAACAGATAAAGGGTAAAACAAGTTGTTAATTAGTACGATCTACACATAACAATCAAGATTTACAACAAATCTAATGTAAGTCCAAGTAATGGAGACTGGAGGGATAGAAAAGACAGCGTAAGGAGAGAAACATGTGATCCAGATCAAGTCTACAAACATAAGTGCCAAGGGAGACTAGTTCGCACTTCGCAGACAACTAGAATCCAAGATCAACAACCAAATGCTTTTCCGGTTGAAATGTGGAAAAAACATTATAGGGAGTAAAGGAAGTTAATTAACATTTTGAAAAAGAAAGTCTCTAAATTCAAAGCGCTTAACCAGTTGGGTCAAATGTCTTGGACGTGAAGGGATAACATACCATCATCTTTGGGCATTTCGGATAAGATTTAGTGTATCAATTCTGGAAAGTGCTTGGCAGGTTGAATCTTAGTAAGTATGAACATGTAGGAACTAGAATGGCGTGATCCAAGGGTGTGATCTAAGATAAATACGGTAATGCTTGATCGGATGGTAGATGATGTGAATATATGTTGACGATCCAAAAACAAGGCAATTGAATGTTGCCTCCTTGAACCATGTAGCATTATGTGCTTTATACTCCTGAATTCAAGTAAACTCTCGATTTCAAGTCTAAAGTTAGCTTATATGACGTTTGTCTCATTAATCTGAAGACATTTGTACTCGTATTTTTTAATAGTGAAGTATGTAAGGCATTGTGCAATATGAATAACTAGTACAGTTCACAATCATTTATTTATTTCCCGAACAAAATATTTTTTTATTTTTGTACCTTTTCTTTGGTCAACATTTTTTATGTTACATTTTAAAACATTTCTAAAAAGGATTAAATCTGACTTACTGTCATATATTTTAATCTACTTTTGTTAACTAATTAAGTGGTTTGTAATTCAAATTTAATTACTTAATCCCAGAACCAAAAAAAATATATTCTAATGATGATTTAAAGCTACACTGTTTAAAATATTGTACCCAATCGGAATATCATTAAAACATTTTCCTAGTCATAAAACGTATTGATATTATTGAAAGTCGGAATTTTTTATTTGAGCTAAATAAAAAAAAAAAAGAAAAAACGAAAATCTAAAACTGTCAGAGAAATTGAATCACGTCAAAATCACTTATGCAAGAAGAAGGCGAAACCAATTAAATCCCGTAATAACAGAAAACAAAAAAATTAGGAATTAATGTCCTAAGTGACACGTGGCCCTACCTTGCCATACACTCACCCTAATTAATTCCTTACTCTGTCTCTTATCCGAAAAATAATCATCTCCAAGTTAAAAATAAAAAATAACAAAACAAAAAAAATCCACTCTTTCTTCGTCCAAGTTTTCCTATAAATACAAACACCATTCTCTCCCATTTCCTACATCACAGAAACTTCACTTCCACCCAAAAAAAAAAAAAAAAAAACAGAGAGAAAAGACAGAAAAAAAGAAAAAGAAAAACAAACAAATTTTCTTTTCTTTTTTTTTTCCCCTCTAAAATCTAACGTTTTGTCTATTCGTGTGTTTTTTTTTTTCTCTTCCGATAATGGGAGCTTTCGAAACAGAGAAACCCGCAAAAGATGCGGCGGCTCTAGAAACACAGTCATCAATGGAAGATTTCGATCAACCATCTCCTCTCCGTAAAATAATCTCCGTTGCTTCAATCGCCGCCGGTGTACAATTCGGGTGGGCCCTACAACTCTCCCTCCTGACTCCTTACGTTCAGCTTCTCGGGATCCCTCACAAATGGTCCTCTCTGATCTGGCTCTGTGGTCCAGTCTCCGGCATGATTGTTCAACCAATCGTCGGTTACTACAGTGACAGATGCACCTCCAGATTCGGTCGTCGTCGTCCCTTCATCGCCGCCGGTGCCGCCATGGTCGCCGTCGCCGTGTTCTTGATCGGTTACGCGGCGGATATCGGTCACAAAATGGGAGATAAGCTCGAGCAAACGCCGAGGGTCCGAGCCATCGGAATCTTCGCTCTCGGGTTCTGGATCCTCGACGTGGCTAACAACACCCTCCAAGGACCTTGTCGTGCTTTCTTAGCCGATCTAGCCGCAGGAGACGCTAAGAAAACGCGAGTCGCAAACGCGTTTTTCTCGTTTTTTATGGCGGTTGGAAATGTTTTGGGATACGCGGCTGGTTCTTACACTAACCTCCACAAGATGTTTCCTTTTGCAATGACGAAAGCTTGCGATATCTATTGCGCGAATCTCAAAACCTGTTTCTTTTTATCCATCACTCTCCTCCTCATCGTCACCGTAACGTCTCTCTGGTACGTTAAAGACAAACAATGGTCTCCGTCGCCGGTAAATGACGACGACGAGAAGGTCTCGAGTGTTCCTTTCTTTGGAGAAATCTTTGGAGCTTTTAAAGTCATGAAACGTCCCATGTGGATGCTTCTTGTCGTCACGGCGTTGAATTGGATCGCATGGTTCCCGTTTCTTTTGTTCGATACTGATTGGATGGGTCGTGAAGTTTACGGTGGAGATTCAGAAGGAGATGATAGTTTGAAGAAGCTATATAACCAAGGAGTGCATCAAGGTGCATTGGGATTGATGTTTAATGCCATTGTTCTTGGTTTTATGTCACTTGGTGTTGAGTGGATTGGTAAGAAAGTTGGAGGAGCTAAACGGCTTTGGGGAATTGTTAATTTCATCCTAGCCGTTGGTTTGGCCATGACTGTTCTCGTTACGAAATTTGCCGAGGATCACCGGAAAACCGCCGGTGCTTTAGCCGGACCGTCTCCTGGTATCAGAGCTGGAGCGTTAAGTCTCTTTGCTGTTCTTGGTATTCCCTTAGCTGTAAGTGTTTCAGGTTTTGTCTTTTTATGTTCTTTCTTGTTATCGCTTATTTATCTACAGTATATAGTTTCTTGCAAATATAATATTAACCAATTCGATTTTTGCAGATTACTTTCAGTATTCCGTTTGCATTAGCCTCCATATTTTCAAGCAGCTCCGGCGCCGGCCAAGGTAATTTTAAAAAACAATAATAATAATTCAATTTCCAAAATCTATCTTCTTCACGTTAAACTTAGAAATCTAATCGTCTGAAAATTTGGTACCTAGTAAATTAGCATTTATTAAGTTCAAACGTTTGGTTTGAATAATTAATTTAGAGATCTGTTTCCAAATTTATTCATATCATCAAGAGTAGATTTTTCATTTGTTGCCAAGATTAAAAAGGGAGTAAATTTGACCTTTGTAACTCTATTCAAAATCTCGTGTGGATATTATCTACAAGTTTATCTATAGCATTTATTTGGGTTGAGATTTATTAGCTTAATAATATTAACTGAAATCTTTTTATCCGTCCATATATCTTTTAATGTTCATTGGTGGTTTCATTTCATCCACTTTATGCAGTTTACAGTTGCTATAAATGTTTGAAACAAGAAACAGTTTCATTTGTAACATAAAACATTTAAATTTTGAAACTAAAAAAACGTGCTTCTTTTCTTTGTTTACAGGACTTTCTTTAGGAGTATTAAATTTGGCAATTGTGATACCACAAATGATAGTATCACTTGGAGGTGGGCCTTTCGACGCCCTCTTCGGTGGTGGAAACCTACCGGCTTTTGTGCTCGGAGCAATCGCGGCGGCGATCAGTGGAGTATTAGCGTTAACCGTTTTACCTTCACCGCCACCGGATGCACCTGCCGTGAAGTCAGGAGCCATGGGATTCCATTAGTTTACTTTATGTTTTATTTTCTTATCAAACCCATCAAATACAGTAGTAATATTGTGCAAAACTGCAAAACCCAAAAACAAAAAAAAAGAATGGATAAAGTGATGAAATCTAATAACCTTGGGGTCGACTGTATTTCACCCTTCTTTTAGTTTGTTGTTTTTGTTACTGATATCAATTTCCAATAGATTTTGTTTTTTTTTTCGCCGTAGTATTAGTATTGTGTGTGACTACACTTTTTTACTGTTTTACTTTGGTTAATGTAAGATCCATCTACAGAAAAAAGTTCCCGAAAGATAGAAAAAATAACCGTAATATTTTAAGTTTATGGCAATTTTCTTATACGCGGGAAAAAAAGTTGAATACTATCTAAAATTATTTAGGTATTAAACTACTCCAACTTTAATCAATAGAGTCGAGAACACATGAACTTTTATTTCTTTTACTAACTACACAATCTAACAAATTTTTGCCAGTAGTAAGAGTTTAGTCTATCTAGTTTTAAAACTTCTGTATCCATACGGTCGGTGAAGCAGGCCAAATTAAACTAATTTTTTCTACAATATCTTTTTTGTTTGATTTTATTTCGGGGCCTTTTATATCCAACTTTTTCCTAGACCCAAACAAATTTATGGATTCCTATTGCATAGTAAAAGTCGGGGCCCAGAAAAAAAGATATGTGATCTCTATTAACTTAAAATGTCTAGACACTGAAACCGGGTCTTTAAAGGCGGTAAGGCCTTAATCGGTATGTGTATATAAAAATAATTTTAGATGGGGAATAATGATAAAAACTATTTAACAAAAAAAAATTCAGTTTCTAAGAATAGTACGCTCAAAAAGGTTTGCAGATGTTAACAAAAAAAGTATGCTCAAAGAGGTTTGCAGATGTAAACTCATTAAAACCGCGTTAAGTTTCTGTTAAAAGCGTTTATGTAGCATTTTTACAAGAAAAATTACCTGATTAATTAAATCATATAAACCAGAAATCAACCAAACTCACTCAAACTAAGTTAATGCCAAACTAGACCAATATACTAAACCAAGGCATAGAATTGCAGAAGAAAAAATATCTGGAGACTGAAACCCCTATAGCAACATAGAATCGCAGAGGAAACATAACAGGCATGAAACAACTGCATAAACATCTGGGCACAAGATTTAACATTACCTCATGATCTATAGGCTTTGTATTTTACATGATATTTCTTTTAAATTATCTTTTGAACCTTTGTTTTATTGTTGGTGCAGATTCAAACCAAAATTTATGCATGATCATTTTTAAACACATCGAAATAACTTGGATAGTCTGCTGTGTGGAATATGGACTCGGTCTTTTGATCACAGAGGCAGACCTATTTGATATAAATGCGGTCACATGACATCTTTATATTTTCAAACCATTCATACTAAACAAAATACTTGCACCCAGTAAACTAAATTAATTTGACCCCTTTGTTATGATCCAACCCATTTTCTCATGTGATCCTCAAGTCACTAACCATAATACATGTATTTTCGAAGCAAAATCTATCTCAAAATGTTGTTAATTAATCCTAATTTAGCCTTACTTAAGTTTTCTGTGGATATGCATCTCAAATGACCCCTTAATTTATGTTTGACCCCAGTGTGCAACTGTGCAAGGTTCACTTATTGTTTTGCACCCTTTTTTTTTATAAACTGTTTTCTTTTAATTAATTCAACCTTTTCTTTTCTTATTCAATCGTTTGTTTGGAATCATTCTCCTTCCTTTTATACGAAGTTAATACATTTGCTTTTGCTTTTTTTTTTTTGGTCTTATTAATTGTTTGATATGTCCCATTAAACTAAAGTTCTCTCAATTGCTTTTGCTTTTTTTTTTACTTATTAATTGTTCAATATGTACCATTACTATTCGTAGATCATATACAAAATAAGTAATAATTCAAAAAAAAACTACATATAGTGTGGTAACAGACTCAAAAGTTAAAAGCATATACATGCAAATGCTATATAAGAAAAAACATAGAGTTCTGTAAATGCATTTTTAAACAAAACATTTTAGTTATAAATTTTTTATTTAGTATATAAAAAAAAAAGAATTAGAATGGTGGCGCCGGGGAAAGTGACCGTAGGGTCAGTCATTTACTCTCACCAAAGCGTTTCTTTTCTCGTCACACACCTATCATCCTCCTCTTCCTCAAGATCTTCTTCCCTCACCACTCCGATTTCAAATCTGGGTTTTCTCGTAGCGGCGGAGAAAGCCGAATTCAGTTGGGCAGAGGCGATTTTCCTGCTCAACTCCCTGAGTTTCGATCTCTTAAATCTGAAGTCCGATCTGGCGGATTTAGGGTTTTCTCGTCTGGGTTGAAGCTCGAAAGAGGAAAACAAGATTCGATTTGGCGTCGAATCGGTATATAATGGGGGAATCAGGTGGTGGTGGAGGAAGCTGGCGGGATTCGTATAAAGGGATGTCTTCTGATAACATCAAGGGTTTGGTGTTGGCGATTTCTTCTAGTTTATTCATCGGAGCCAGTTTCATCGTTAAGAAGAAAGGCCTTAAGAAAGCCGCCTCCACTGGGACTAGGGCTGGTATATCTATCTTTCTCGTGTCCTCATTGTCGCAGTTGTTATTGAAATTATCTTCTGTAATGTGGTTTCCAAGTGTCTATTTTAGTGCTGAAATCGTTGATTTAGAGTGGAAACTGAACAAGCAGCTTGTGTGTTTGATAGATTGGGAACGAATTTTCTCAGATAGTTTCTTTAAGAGCAGCTAGGAGATCTATTTCTATTGAACTTATCAGTGTGTTCAGTGAGCTACTTAGACGTTGTGAACAGATGGGGACCTTTTTCTTCTGTGTTAACTTTACTTAATAACCACATTGCTTTCAGACTTAAATTTTCCGTGTAGATGTTGTTCTTTTAGGATTTGCTTTCATACTTTCATGGTATAAATCCAATCTCATACTGTGTAGGCGTTGGTGGGTATTCTTATCTCTACGAGCCTCTTTGGTGGATCGGCATGACAACAAGTGAGTCCTGTTCTTTGGCATTGCCTTTTTAATTCTTCATAGTTCTATTACTCTGTTTTGGTTCTTTTCTCATCTTTTCTGCTTCTTCCAGTGTTACTTGGTGAGATTGCAAATTTTTCTGCTTATGCATTTGCGCCAGCTATTCTTGTAACTCCTCTTGGCGCACTCAGTATCATTATTAGGTATGTATACTCGTGTCTGACTCTTTGATCAGTTTTTTTTTCTTATATGTGATGCAATCGGTGCTTTATTTTTTCTTAGACAATAGACATTTGTTCTCTGAATCTCAGTGCTGTCCTAGCTCATATTATATTGCGGGAGAAACTACACATCTTCGGAGTTCTTGGCTGTGTCTTATGTGTTGTTGGTTCCACAACAATTGTCCTACATGCCCCTCAAGAACGAGAAATTGATTCTGTGCTTGAAGTTTGGAATCTTGCAACAGAACCAGGTGCGTTGTTTGATAGGGTTGTGATGCTTTATCGGGATAGTAATTTGAACAGTCTCACGGCTCCTTTTCGTCCTCCATTCAATTTTCTAACTTTTTTTAGGTTGTTGCAGCATTCATGTTCTATGCGAGCTTTATAATTGGGGCTGCTATATTTCTTATTGTCCGTTTTGTGCCCCAATATGGGCAGACAAACGTAATGGTCTATATCGGTATTTGTTCGCTTGTGGGATCATTATCGGTATGTATGTTTTGATATTTCCTGTTTGTTATCTTATTTTGCTCTAAAAAAAACACCCTTGATCAACTTTTCTGAATACTATTTCATTTAATCATGTGAGCAGGTAATGAGCGTAAAAGCACTTGGAATAGCACTTAAGTTGACATTTTCAGGCACGAATCAGTTATTTTATCCTCAAACATGGGTATTCACTTTGGTCGTACTTACCTGTGTGATAACGCAGTTGAACTACTTAAACAAGGTAAATATTAATTAAATGTTCTTCAAGATACTCTTTTTGTAGAATATAACGTAGGTAGTTAGATGTCTTCCTTGGTTAGTCCATTAATTGCGATTTTTTGCCTTTTTAACTTGCAGGCACTTGATACATTCAATACAGCTATAGTATCTCCTATATACTACGTAATGTTCACATCACTAACTATATTGGCCAGTGTTATCATGTTTAAGGTAACCTTCCGCCACTATATGTATATATCGTTGTATGTGGATTGTTGCCTTGGTACATGAATCAGTTCACTGCTTTATGTGGTTTGTGTTTTCGAACAGGACTGGGATCGGCAAAATGGTACTCAGATTGTCACAGAAATGTGTGGATTTGTTACAATACTTTCTGGCACTTTTCTTCTCCATAGAACGAAGGACATGGTTGAGGGTGCGTTACTTTCTTTCATATACGGCACTTCTTATGCATCTGTGTCTCTCTTTTTTTTTTTCATTTTGGAAGACACGTTTTTCTGACGGGCAAGAACTTGAGCGTTATGACATTCAATAAGGAAAAAATCGAATGCAGAGATGACACGAAATCTCAAGTTATTATATGCTCTTTCTCAGCTATGAGGAACACTAATATGCATAACAGATCTATGTACACATTTCTAGCTAGAATTACAGAAACATAGCTATTCATGATTTACAAAAAGATTGATATATCTTAACGCCAAGTGTCTGTATCACTCTGGAATTTCTGAGAGCTTGCAACTGATTGTTATCACTATGTTATTGCAGGTTCAGCGGTAATATTACCATTGCGTATAAGCAAGCATACCATTGAGGATGGGTTTGAATCAGAAGGCATTCCACTTAGACGCCAAGAATCTCTCCGGTCACCTTGAAAGCTTTATTGATTTGTTTTCTGGTCTACTGCGATAACTGCAAGCCAGAGAGTCTCAACTTTTTTCCCGTATCTCGGTCTACTATGAACATGGACCATGATGGTTCTTCTGTCTAAACAAATACAGATGGTTCAAGAAGATCGAGGAAGGTAAAAGGAGCAAAGAGGACGATATCTCAGATATCTTCTTCTCGGTAAATATGCTGTGAGTTCATCAAACATACGGCATTAGCACACACCCACGCATAAACCCTTTTGTGACCTTTAAGATTTTATAAACAAAGACGGGTTTTGCTTAAATTGGTCTTTTACAAGCATATATAACTGAAGGTTTTCTACATCTTTGATTTTTGATTTAGTCTTTTTAAAATTCCTCCGTTGGTTGGTTTATACCCTTTGAAAAAAGAAAAAAGAAATAGAGACTTTGAAACTTTTACAACACATGTTTTAGACTTTTAAGTCAATTGTTGAAGAAATAGTGTTTTGATGAGGTGGAGTTATAACATTGATGATAATAGATGGTGACAACGTTCTATGTTCAATCTTTCCTCAATCAATCACTCCGCTGGTAGATGAGATGTCAAATTAAAATCACGTTATGTCCCTCTCATAACTCTTTCTACATACAGAGCTAATCACCAATTTAATTTATTTAAACTATATAATAGTCATAAATTCACATTTGTTAACGTCATAACTCTTGTTCTCTTTACGAGCTAACTTAGAACGATTTTAAATTTGATCGAGTTTCTCCGATTAGCATTAAAAATCGAGGAATTCGTGTATACAGTATACATATAAGGTTATGAAGTATAAACTGCCTAAACAAGAAAATTACAATTGACTGATTGAGATATAAAATCGTTTCAAAATATCTGAACTTATAAAAAAGAACCCACAATAGACAAGATTATAAATATGTTACCCAAATTAGAAAATAAATCAAGCTATCTAAAAATGATCACAATAATTACAAAATATTTTCTTTCGAATAAACAAAAATCTTCCTCTTCAACACCAAATTATAAGGGAAAAAAATAAGAAGAGAGAACTTCTTGTAGTAGTTGAACTAGAAAAGGAACAGAAAAGAAAAACAGAGCAACGAATCCAACATCACCAACAAAACACAAACTGTGTGTTTCATCTCAATCCTCTCTTCTTTCTTTTTAATAATTTGTTTTCTCTAAACCACTGGTCAACAAAATATTAATTTGTAATTCTTGATCCCAGAAAATGGCTCTGAACAGTGTATCCTCAGAAGAATTTAGCTTCCCAATGATCGCTTCCCAAGATTCTTCCCAATTTTCCGGCATCGATTCACCTCCACTGTGGAAACACTCGCCGGATAATTTCCTCCGGGAAGATCACGACAGAGGTTTCGGAAGATTACTCATCGGAAAATACGATAATAATGATCAGACGAAGAGTTTCTCTTATGTGGAGACGAGAAGTCTATGGAGCGACAAAGCAGAGGAGAAGATGGATATGTTGTGGGAAGATCTCAACGAAGAGCTGCCGCCAAGAAGCCAGAGTCTGAGGATTGATACCGGCGGTGATGGCGGAGAGAAGAAATCGTCTTTGTTTTCCGACGAGAGCTCCGCCGTGGCCGTTGGGTGCGGGATGAAGTTGACCAAGAAGACGCCGCCTAAGAAGAAGATGAGTCCGAACGTGTTGGTGTTGATGAGGGTGTTGAAAAAGCTTCTTCTTTTACGGACTTCGTCTCAGAGATCGCCGGCGAAAACTCATCCACGGTGATCTTACCAATAATAATTGTGAATTGAGGGTTCTTTTTGTAGAATCTATTAATTACGGGGCTTGCCTGAGAAAGATATTTGTTGTTTGGGTGGTTTAACAACAACAATTAAAGTTAGGGCTCTATGCCCGCCCAACTGTAAATGGGCCTAATCCCTGACTCATTTAGATTTTTGAGTCTTTTTTGGTTTGATTTAAATGTGTATGAATTTATTAGGTGATAAAAGAGATAATGGGCCTTAGCCCAACTGTAAAACTGATACGTGGACAGTACAGTTATGATATGTGTGATTGGAGTGTGGCTTATTCGAGTCGGGTCAGATCGGACCCAAATCCAATCTATTTGTTCTTGTTAAAGTTATAAATATTTGTCGACTCTCTTAAATCCCCACAATCCATTGCACAGTGCAGCTTAAGTAGCTAATTCTTTATTAAACCAAAAAATGAATTAGAAAAAGTGTCGTCTTCTCACGTCCATTCAAGAAAAGTTCCATAAATATAATAGTTAACGCCCCCTTTAAACTAGTTCTGAAGTATTTTGTAAGATAAAACAAAAATTTGTCCCTTGTCCGATAATAGCATCTAATTATTCTTTTATTAGACAAGTAAAAGCTAATTCTTTTTTTTTTCTTTCTAAAGTTTGCAATTTTGAATAGTTAAGCTGTAAAGGAACCTAAAAGAAAGACAAAAAGAAAACTAGAATTAAAAATGTGAGAATAAGTATGACTCTATCTATCTCGATGAGAGAAGCAATAGGATCAAAGAGCCAACTTAAGGGTGTGGGCCGACATGCCATCATCAGCCTCTCTGTTCCATTCTTACCTCTAGAAGCTTTTGCTTCTCTCATCATTACATTCTTAGTTTTCTCGTCTTATTAATCCATTTTAAAATTATGGTTTCTGGATTATATTATTGAATAACTGTTGAATTTCACTTATCAATTTATTGAAATATAAAAATATATTTTTAGGTCCTAAATTACAAAATTTTAAATCAAAATTTGAGGAATAGATATCAGCATCACACTAGGAATTATATCCTTCCGTTTTGCCTTATAAGATGTTTTGGAGATATGTTGCAAAAGTGGAAATAAAAAAACATGTTGCCCATTACTAATTTTATTTTATAGAGGTAAGCAAGTAATCGAGAAAAAAATTTGAAAAAAAAAGCAAAATATTAATAGAGGTAAGCAAGTAATTGACCAATCTAACTTAATTTTGATGCTGTATTGTTGTAAACACTGTTACATCATCGCCGGAAATAATTGATCTAGTTCTCTTACAAATCATTATTACTCGATTTTAATGTTGTATAAGAAATTGAAGTAAAAAAAACCCAAATTCAAATATCTTATAAAATAATGGATGGAGTATGTGTCTCTTGATTAAGGGAAATTACACGTATCCTAAACTAATTAATATTTAACTATTTAGTATTTATCAAGCTGTATATATAAAACCATAACCTCATCGTACACTAAACTACGAAGTATATATCGTCACAATAACAGTGTAATAAATAAAGTTTTAAGCGTTTGAATGAAATCATTAATTATATTGTATGTGAATATACTTTTAACGAAACAAAACTAGATCTAAAAGACTAAACTACAGTTAGTTTTACTAGTGTCAATATATCGGTTACAACACATTTGTTAAGCTCATCTCAAATTTATATACATAAAAAAAAAAAATTTTATTCAGGACTTGTACGGTACACGCAGAAATGATACAAAGGGATAAAGAAAGAAAAAAGGAGGTTTGGAAGGTCTTACTCGGTTTTATGTTGTCGTTGATTTTACTCATAACATGATACAAAAAACAAATGATAAAAAAATAATGAGAAAAGTTTGAAAATTTTCCAAAAGTAGAATAATTTAAATAGTTAAAGTCATTTTAATAATAACTGTAATAGTATGGAACTATTATTTGATACATATTGTAATAGAGACGCAATCTCGTCACATTAAAATGAAAAATCCTAATATTTATAAGCAAGCAGTCCCACTAAGCCGCCCCAAACAAAAATACAGATACGCCCGTATGCTTTCTTTACACTCTCTGATCTCCCTTCAAACACCAAAAATTGTGTGTAGATAATAACATTTTTGACGTACTAAATATCTAAATTAATTGGTTTTTTTTTAATAATGAAAGGTTACCAAAATTTAAAATGAAAGGTTAATGGGAAATCTTGACTTAATGGTTACCAAATAGGATGTGGAATAGGGAGACAAGTAGAGGAGGTTGTAGCCTGTAGGGGTCACTTGGAGAATTAGTGGTCGATGTTCATCCACCGTCCGTTCATCATTAACTGCGGCTAATTATAACTTTCACTAAACATATTTTACGCCAATTTTAATAACTCATTCATTCTTAACAAATGAATATTTTATAAGTATTTTTTTTTTAATGCCAACAACTTGCTTATCCGAAAGTTTGTTAATTATCGCCTCTCAGAATCCACAATATTTTAACGCTTGTCAAAAGAAAACAATATAAAGTGAAAGCGATAAAATGGCGACTTGCTGCCTCGCGGTAAGGCTAAGGAACAAGCTCATTTTAATGGGTAGATATGTGGATAATAGTCTGAGATATTTTTTTGAATTAGGGTTCGCAGTTCATAGATGTAGTGTAAGTAGATCAGATTATTTATAAAGTAAAGTTACTATCATAGTCTCATACATACATATATATATATATATATAGAGAGAGAGATTTTTCGAACATTTCACATAAAGACAAATTTGATATCAATGCCTATGAGATAATTAAAAATTCGACGATGATTAATATGTATAGCCTATGAGTACACTAATAATGACATACTGTTTCTTAATTATTATTGATTCACTAAGATCAGCTGATAATAATTCATTAGTGGATGTGATATCTTTCAGGGTGCATATATATATATATATATGTGTGTGTGTGTGTGAGAGAGAGATTATTGGAGAAAAGCATAGAAAAGTATTGCGAGCGAATACTATTTATACATAGTGATTCATATATAAGCACAAAAACTCTGACGATTTGTGGTCTAGTGGATATTGTTTTCTCGAAAGGTACAGAATACATATAACTTGGATGCTTAAAGTTATAATATCATTAACGAATATTAAGTTTGGTTGCATGCAAAATATCCGTGTATATATAGAAGCGACTGTATTTATATATGCATGACCAAGCACTTTTATTTTAAATGAGTCTATTTAATTTTTTTTCTTAAAATATACGAGTATTTAGGTGATATCAGAGTCAAGTGAATTGACACAGAATGAGCTGTACAGTTAAATTTGTATGTATCCATATTTCGAATTTTTTGAAGTTTTTCTCCTACGCATTCTAAATACCCAACATAGGTGATATAAGGGAAAATCACTAAATATAAGGGATAATTTATGTAACTTTTACAAAAGTGATAAATAACCATATGTTTTCTGTTATCTTGTGCTTTTTTCTGTCTTATAATAGTGGTAAATAAAAGGAATGTATGTTTGATCCAAAACAAAAAAAAAAAAAACGTATAGAGGGTTGTTTCTAGATACAGGTCGTTGTCAAAGTTCAGTTAGGATAGAATCTAAGACAAGATCCTAAGATAACTCTTTCAGCAAAAGCAAATATATTTCTTTCTTTTTCAGGAAACTTTTTATTTAATTGATTTATCCTATTACCGAGGACAATCTTATTTGACCTTTCAATCAATCTCTTAAACACTTCTATTCGCTGCAGTTAGACACAGTACAAATTCCTGAATATTTGTCAATATTATTTTGGGTAAAATGCTGTTTTTTTTTATAAAAAAGTAATCAACCGTAACAAAATTATAACGACTGAATTCAGAACGAATTCAAAAATCAATCGTTACCGAATTCATAACGAAATTAAATAAATGTAATCAACCGTTAGAAAATGATATTCAAAAATAAGATGCATTAACCATCATATCTTGTTGATTTTCTTTCGCAAGTATAATATAATATTATAACGAATCTTCGAAGTAACCAATGGGAAGAATGTGTGTGTGGCCATAATTTTATAGTTCAGTACATATATTACATGTTGGAAGTTTGATGAAGCAGTCCAATAGAAATGGACTATAAAAAGAAATATAAAAGGAAAGTGAAAGGTCGGTAGATTACATTAGATTGTAATGATGTTATCAGATTAAGTTCATGATTTACATTTTTGATGCGTTATGGACCCATTTAAAAGAGCACCTCTCCTTAATTTTCAAAACGTTCCGATTAGATTAGCATACAAACAAATCGTTCAACAGAAAAAAATATTTATTTCACTGAGTGTAATTTATTTTTAATAGAAAAAAATATACAGTATATAACGTAGAAGAAGTACAAATCAGTGGACAATATAAACAGTTTATAAACTTCATGTTTTATACTTTTCAAAATTAAAAGTTTATGATGCTCTATGGCCAGGATATAATTTACATGTGTAGTTGTAATTAACATTCGTAACGACACAATTTTGTTAGCAATTTTTGAGTTTTGATATAGTGTTGATAGAAAATAATATAATTTTTGTTGTTGTCCGGCAACTGATGTTAAACAAAAGAAACGATTGGTCCATAATGAAACCCAAAAATAGAACGATTTAGCTTACAAACAAATGAGTCCATTTAGTTTGTTGTTATCATTCGAATTTTCTTTATGATTCCTTTTACTTGGGAATTCTATTATTTGTAAAACAGTATTTTCAAATAGATTTTTTTTGTTTTTCTATATTAAGAGTATAAATGAAACTTAAAATATATCACGTGTTCACTACAAAAGTAATTGGCATGTTGGAAGTTTTGGTTGATCAAATCGGTTTACGCTATATCAGGCAACATAATTATTTAATAACAAAACAAAATCAAGCATCTGTTTTCATGAAGAAAACAACAAAAATAATCAGTCAACCAAATTTAGATATTATTGCTATTTGACTGTATGGGATTTATATGTCTTAGGATCATGGATTTTCCTGAAATTCACGGAGTCTTTGTATCAAAATTTCAAAATATTGGCGTGATGTTTATTGATAACCTTTTAATTCGTGGACGGTAAAGTGGCCGCCTCCAAAAAATCATGCGTCTAATGTATCAATTACTTTTGCTCCCGTGCTTTAAGCATTCCGCTTGATAATCTTATATTAGATATCATGAATATTTTTTTTTAAGTTAAAGTTAAATAATTTGATAAATTGTAAGGTACTAAACCGGCCAGCCAAT